TAATTTATTAAAGACTAACAATACAAACATAAACGCAGTGCACCAAACCCCAAGCTAACACAAATACATACAAGGTGAAACAAACCCAAACCTAAACTGATATAGATACACAGGTACATACACATATAGAGCACAACGTGATCAGGCAGGCCGGGTCGATAACTATCGGGCAGGTAGGTACAGGAGGAGCAGGCGGAGAGAATGGTCAGGGTCACAAGCCAGGGATCAGAACAGGAGAAGTCAGCAGAGGTCAGGATCAAGCAGGGTCAGCAACAAGACAGGAACAGGAACAGGAACGCAGGTTTACAAGATACAGGGCCCAGGAAAAACACACACACCAAGGCAAAGACTGCAGGTCTGGCCATCACTTAAATACACCTGCATAAGCAGCTTCAGGTGTTTGGCTGGCTGCAGGGTTGAGTCTCTGATTGCTGGGAGCACCCGCTGGCCAGCCCTGGTACTGCAGCCCACAAGGCAGGTGAGTCCCACCATTACTGGCAAGTCCATTCCTGACAGGTTCCTTTTCCCAACATCTGTTTTGAGATCTCTCCACAGGTGCTCTATGGGATTGAGATCTGGACTCATTGCTGGCCAGTTCCGTACTGTCCAGAGCTTTGTCTGAAATCATTTTTTCAGAGCCTGGGTCTGAACCTGGACCTTCTGCGGTGAGTTGCAATGTTTCTACTTGCTGAGCCACCTGGAATGCTGGACAGCTCCCTTGACAATTATTTGGATGATCCTACCTGGACCTTGTTTATCATGAACCTTGAACCACTTGCTCCTCCCATGAACTTCCCGATATAAGCCATGTCTCTGCACTTCCTGTTTGCCAGATTATTGTGCTCTCCAGCCAGTATCGTGCTCCTTATCATCTCTGTTATTATCCATATTTTGCTACCACTCGTTATTGACCCTTGCCTGATCTTCTGCCTGAACCTGCGACTGCTCCTTACCGACCTTGGCTTGTTTACTGACCATGCTTCTGTTTGATCCTTACCTATTACACGCTACTGGACTTCCGCTTGCTCACCTCCTGGTGGGGTGATCCTGAGGACCGCGACCTGGTACTAACACGCAGCAAAATCCATCTCCACCATCTGGAGCTCTGGTGAACACTGGTTGGTACTTAGACTCCGCACCTCGGGTGATCCCATTCCGCAGCCATGGTGACCTGCCTGTATACCTCTCCTGCTGGTTTCAGGTGAGCCTTTCCACTGCCATATCAACTGGTCTTTGAGCCTGACCCCTGATCGTGACACATTTCTGGGTGCTTTTTTGACGTGTGCTTTGGGTCATTGTCTTGCTGTATGACCCATGACCTCTGATGGAGACACAGCTTTCTGACACTGGGCCCTACATTGTACCCAAGAGTTCTTTGGTAGTCTTCAAATTTTATAGTGCCATGCACACGGTAAAGACATCCAGTGCCTAAAGCAGCAAAGCAACCCCAAAACATCAGTGAACCTCCACTATGTTTGACTGTAGGAACTGTATGCTTTTCTTTAAAGGCCTCATTTCTTTTTCTGAAAATAGTAGAATGATGGGCTTTACCCAAAAGCTGTAATTTTGTTTCGTCTGTCCACAGGACATTCTCCCAAAAGGATTTTGGTTTCCTCAGGTAAGTATTGGCAAACTCCAATCTGACTTTTTTACGTTTCTGTGTCAGCTGTGGGGTCCTCCTGTGTCTCCTACCATAGCGTCCCTTTCCATACAGATGGCGGAGTATAGTGCGAGCTGATACAGTTGTACCCTGTGCTTGAAGCTCAGCTTGAATTTGTCTGGAATTTGGTTGAGGTTTTTTTATCCACCATTCGAACAATCCTCCATTGCAATCTTTGATCAGTTTTTCTCTTTCATCCATGTCCAGGGAGATTAGCTACAGTGCCATGGACTGTAAACTTCTTGACAATGTTGTGCAAAGTGGACACAGGAACATTAAGATCTCTGGAGGTGGACTTTTTTTGTTCACTTTTAGTTCAAGTTCAATTTTTGTTCTCAAATTCTCAGACAATTCTTTGCTGCTCTTTCTCTTCTCCATGTGGCACACAGAGACACACAACAGAAAGGTTGAGTCCATTTTTCGCCATTTTAACTGGAAGCCAGTGTGATTTCTATATTGTCAGCACCTGTTAATTGATACAGGTGAGTTTTATTCAAATTACAGCAGCATCAGAAACATGGAATGCAATTATTTTTAACAGTTTGGAGCAGGTGCCCATAATTTGTTCAGTCCATTTTTGGAGTTTTGCGTGGAATGTGTCAAATTTGGCTTTTAGATTCTCCACTTTTTTTGTGTCATACCAATACAAACAAAAGAAATAAAACATAGGAATGTCTAAGGACAATTTTCTGGGCGAAGTGGCGCATTATCTAAAAGAAATGCAAGGGTGCCAATATTTTTGGACATTACTTTTTTGGACATGACTGTAGTTAATATTAGGTGAGTGATCATAAAGTTATGGCTAGTCAGTGTATATATAAAATGCATTTATGGAATAATGGAAACTGCTCTGGAGTGTGGAGTGTATATATTTCAAACAAACTTTAAACTAATTTTATATAGTATATAAAAACAAATGAGTGCACTCTGAAATAGTTGAAAACCTTCTTTCGCTGCTGATGACTGTTAAATATGAAATATTAACAATGTATAAAATCCTTTATATTTACAGGTTTAAAAAAAATAAAATACATATTTTTATTATAAATAAATAGGAATAATAAAATGCTTATGTCAGGGCTCCCGGGTATGACCAGAGGTGTGTGACTGACGCAGGGAAACGCAGACTTCAGATATGTTATAAACAATGTAATTTATTAACACTAACCATACAAACATAAACGCAGTGCAATACTAAAACATAACACAGTGCAAACAAACCAACCAACCACCCACAGATAACAGTACATACAATGCAAGCGTCGTCAGGCAGGCGGGTCAATATCAGTCGGGCAGGTAGGTACAGGGGGAGCAAGCGGAGAATGGTCGGGGTCACAGGCCAGGTTCAGCAGGTAGCGGGCAGCGTGGTACAGAGGGTCAGGCAGAGGAGAATGGTCAGACAAGCCAGGGATCAGAGCAGGGTCAGCAGAGAATTAGACAGGAACAGAGAGCAGGAACAGGATACAGGGCCCAAGAGAAACACAACACCAAGGCAGAGTCTGCAGGTCTGAATGTCCCTTAAATACCCAGTATAATTAGTTCCAGGTGTTTGACTGGCTGCAAGGTTGAGTCTCTGATTGCTGGGAGCACCCGCTGGCCAGCCCTGGTACTGCAGCTCATAAGGCAGCTGAGTCCCACTATTGCTGGCCAGTCCATTCCTGACAGTACCCCCCCCTCAAGGAGCAGCCTCAGGACACTCCAAACAGTCCTAGCTCGGCAAAATGTTCCACCGCCCGGGTCTGGTAACTGGCGGGGATATCAAAGACTGGCACACCGGGCAGGACTCCGGGCAGCGGCACACCGGGCAGAGGCACATCGGGCAGGACTCCGGGCAGAGGCACATCGGGCTGGACTCCGGGCAGAGGCACATCGGGCTGGACTCCGGGCAGAGGCACTCCGGGCAGCGGCACACCGGGCAGAGGCACATCGGGCTGGACTCCGGGCAGAGGCACATCGGGCTGGACTCCGGGCAGAGGGCACATCGGGCTGGACTCTGGGCAGAGGCACATCGGGCAGAGGCACACCGGGCTGGGACACCGGGCAGAGGTACATTGGGCAGGACTCCGGGCAGAGGCACATCGGGCAGGACTCCGGGCAGAGGCACATCGGGCAGGACTCCGGGCAGAGGCACATCGGGCAGGACTCCGGGCAGAGGCACATCGAATTACCAGGCGGAGCAGCAGGCAGCGGGCCCCCGGGCAGAGCAGCAGGCACCGGGCCCCCGGGTGGGGCAACAGGCATCGGGCCCCCGGGCGGGGCGACCGGCATCGGGCCCCCAGGAGGGGGCGACCGGCATCGGGCCCCCAGGCGGAGCGGCGGGCGCCGGGCCCCCAGGAGGGGCGACGGGCGTCGGGCCCCCAGGCGGCGGCGACGGGCGTCGGGCCCCCAGGCGGGGCGACGGGCGTCGGGCCCCCAGGCGGGGCGACGGGCATCGGGCCCCCAGGAGGGGCGACAGGCATCGGGTCCCCAGGCGGGGCAACAGGCATCGGGCCCCCAGGCGGAGCGGCTGGGCGCCGGACCCCCAGATGGAGCGACAGGTCTCGGGCCCTCAGGCGGAGCGGCGGGCGCCGGACCCCCAGGTGGAGCGACAGGTCTCGGGTCCTCAGGCGGAGCGGCGGGCGCCGGGCCCCCAGGCGGAGCGACAGGTCTCGGGCCCCAGGCGGAGCGGCGGGCGCCGGACCCCCAGAAGGAGCGACAGATCTCGGGCCCTCAGGCGGAGCGGCGGGCGCTGGACCCCCAGGTGGAGCGACAGGTCTCGGGCCCTCAGGCGGAGCGGCGGGCGCCGGACCCCAGGTGGAGCGACAGGTCTCGGGCCCTCAGGCGGAGCGGCGGGCGCCGGGCCCCAGGTGGAGCGACAGGTCTCGGGCCCTCAGGCGGAGCGGCGGGCGCCGGGCCCCCAGGCAGAGCGACAGTTCTCAGGCCCCCAGGCGGAGCGACAGGTCTCGGGCCCTCAGGCGGAGCAGCGGGCGCCGGACCCCCAGGCGGAGCGACAGGTCTCGGGCCCTCAGGCGGAGCGGCGGGCGCCGGACCCCCAGGCGGAGCGACAGGTCTCGGGCCCTCAGGCGGAGCGGCGGGCGCCGGACCCCCAGGTGGAGCGACAGGTCTCGGGCCCCCAGGCGGAGCGACAGGTCTCAGGCCCCCAGGCGGGGGCGGGGCGGGCGCCGGACCCCCAGGCGGAGCGCGGGGGCGCCAGACCCCCAGGCGGAGCGACAGGTCTCGGGCCCCCAGGCGAAGCGGCGGGCACCGAGTCACCAGGCACGACAGTGGGCTCCGAGTCAACTGGCATGACCGCTGGCACTGGGTCAGACATTGGATTGTCTGACTGGACAGCGGGCATCGGGTCACCAGGCATCGAGTCATTTGGCTCGACAGCGAGCACCGCGTCATGGCAAGGGTGGACTCCGAGTCAACAGGCACGACAGTGGGCACTGGGTCATCAGGTAACCGGATTGTCTGGCTCGACAGCGGGCATCGGGTCACCAGGTATCAGGTCATTTGGCTTGCCAGCGGGCACCGCGTCATCTGGCAAGGCAGTGGGCACCGGGTCACCAGGCATTGGATCGTCTGGCTCGACAGCGGGCATCGGGTCACCAGGTATGACAGCGGGCCCTGGGTCACCAGGCATCAGGTCATTTGGCTCGCCAGCGGGCACCGCGTCATCTGGCAAGGCAGTGGGCACTGAGTCACCAGGTACGACAGCGGGCACCGGATCAGGTACCGGATCATCTGGATCAACAGCGGGCATCGAGTCAACTGGCCTAATAGGATCGTCAGGCTGGATCAGTTCATCATGCTGGGTAGAGGCATCAGGCTGAATGCCGGCGTCCGGCTGAGTAGAGGCTTCAGGCCGAGAGTAGGCATCAGGCCAGAGTAGAGGCTTCAGGCCGAGTAGAGGCATCAGGCCGAGTAGAGGCATCAGGCCGAGTAGAGGCTTCAGGCCGATGTAGAGGCATCAGGCCGAGTAGAGGCTTCAGGCCGAGTAGAGGCTTCAGGCCGAGAGCTTCAGGCCGAGTAGAGGCTTCAGGCATCAGGCTGAGTAGAGGCTTCAGGCCGAGTAGAGGCTTCAGGCCGAGTACAGGCATCAGGCTGAGTAGAGGATTCAGGCTGAGTAGAGGCTTCAGGCTGAACCACGGAAGGCAGGTTTTGGATACTGGCAGGATGGTATTGGTTGGAAAGAATTTTTGCTTTTTCTGGTTTTTAACTACTGGAGCACTGCAAGTAAACGCAGGTCTGCAAACGAATGGAGCAGCTGGAGACAGAGAAGAACTGGAGGATGGAACAGGAGAGGGAGCAGTTGCTACAGAGGGCTTTTTTACAGGGTTAAAGGCAGGATAGGTGCAGCGAGTGGAACAGGGTACGGACATGCGGTAGATAGCAGGGCAGGAGGAGCTGTTGGGAATACAGGAATAGAGCTTTGAGGAAATAGATTAGAAGCAGGACTGGGTTTTTGTAAGCTGACTGAGGCTGGGTGCAACAAGTCTGTCCATGTCTGCAGTATGGGTTGAACAAAGCTGAGCTTACACAAAGCTGTCTGACCAAAGACTGCACTGCGTTTATACAAATCTCTTAGTGTCTGTGGTGAACATGTGGAATAACGCTCCAGAAAGTAATCCACATCATCCTCTAATAACCACACCAGGGACTCTACCTGGCCTGCACTAAATGGTGGCAAAAATTCATCCCTGCATTCGGGAGTTACCAGGTGAAACCAACTCAGCACAAACCTCAATCAAAGGCTGCACCTCAGAGAACTCTGTGCCCTGATCTACTAGAACATGAGCGAGCCGTATACATTCTAGCAGTTCATCCCAGGGATACTCCTTCAGAGTTTGATAAGCATACTCCCTGTCATCAAACACTAGCAGATATAAATACGCAACCTCATCCAGATCCATCCTTCCCATCAACAAACCAAGATGGCTTCCCTGTGCAGCCACTTCTGGTCAGGATTGGCCTTGGTGTAATGTCAGGGCTCCCGGGTATGACCAGAGGTGTGTGACTGACGCAGGGAAACGCAGACTTCAGATATGTTATAAACAATGTAATTTATTAACACTAACAATACAAACATAAACGCAGTGCAATACTAAAACATAACACAGTGCAAACAAACCAACCAACCACCCACAGATGACAGTACATACAATGCAAGCGTCGTCAGGCAGGCCGGGTCAATATCAGTCGGGCAGGTAGGTACAGGGGGAGCAAGCGGAGAATGGTCGGGGTCACAGGCCAGGTTCAGCAGGTAGCGGGCAGCGTGGTACAGAGGGTCAGGCAGAGGAGAATGGACAGACAAGCCAGGGATCAGAGCAGTGTCAGCAGAGAATCAGACAGGAACAGAGAGCAGGAACAGGATACAGGGCCCAAGAGAAACACAACACCAAGGCAGAGTCTGCAGGTCTGAATGTCCCTTAAATACACCAGTATAATTAGTTCCAGGTGTTTGACTGGCTGCAAGGTTGAGTCTCTGATTGCTGGGAGCACCCGCTGGCCAGCCCTGGTACTGCAGCTCATAAGGCAGCTGAGTCCCACTATTGCTGGCCAGTCCATTCCTGACAGCTTAGCTTATCACTATAGAATCCGCAAAGCATTCTATTTTAAAGATAACAGAATTAAAAATTAAATTAGGAACTTACCAAACACATTTTAATAGTGGGGTTCTCTGTTTACTTTACATAGCAATTCATGCAGAAGGGGAAGTAAGACTTCGTACAGTACCTGGGTGACTTGTTAGTTAAAATCTCACTGTGCATCCTCCTCCCCATTAGAGTCAGTTTTTCAGGGTTCTTCAAGAAAAACTTTACTGATCCTGTTTTTTTTTTCTTGCCCATCTTACCTTATTTCCTGGGATATCCTTAATAACATATTTGTTGACAGGGCCCAAAATGGGAGTGAGCAGCTGAAGCTAGGACAGTAGTGTCAAAATCAATTTCATCACGGGCCGCATCAGCATTGTGGTTGCCTTCAAAGGCTGGTTCTATTTTTTGAGATTATATAAATGTATATACTCTTTATTGTGTTAAATCAATGCCTCTGCATTCAATTGTTATTAACAACTTAATTTTAGTAACAACTTAAGACTTAAAGCGGAGCTCTAGCCCCCTCCCCCCCAAAAAAAAAAAGTCAGCAGCTACAAATACTGTAGCTGCTGTCTTTTGATATAAGGACACTTACCTGTCCAGGGATCCAGTGATGTCCTCACACAAACCGATTCTTCAGTCGGTTTTGGATGCAGGTGCCGACATCTTAAGCAAGGGAAACCGACAATGAAGACTTACGGCTTCACAGCCAGTTGACTACTGAGCATGAGTGAAGCGTGCTGTGATACGTGAATGGTCCTGGGACTTAAAGGCTGTGGGGGAAGGAGGGGGAGGGAAGGGACGAACTTCTGGTTCAGATCGCTGGGGCGATCTGAACCAAAAGTGGGAGCGGGTACCTGTCAAAACCATGTACCTGCTCCCCCACCCCACCCCAAAAGTGCCCAAAAGTGGCAGTGGAAGGAGGGAGAATACAAACAGGACTTTCCCTTTTTGGTGAAATTCCACTTTAAGCTGTGAAAATCAGGTGCAGACTGGCACAGAGCTCACTCACACTCTTGTAGCAGATGATGCAATTCTGAAAAAGAGGGTTGCACACTGCTGGTATTATCTGCAAGAAACTTTATTGGAGACTGTTCAGACAGAACATGGTTCTGCTATGGTATCCTGTCTAAGCACTGCCCCGACAGGACCTTCTGGTTAGTATTAGATCCTCTGCTCCTTCCTCTGGCCCAAGGTGAAAAACTCATTCCTACTGACACCACCAGAATACTCTTGCTGGTACCTCCAAGCAGTTACACAAGAGCAAGTTACTGCCTGTGGTAAAATAAACAGGGTGTATTGAAAGGACTAGAATGGTAAGGTAATACAACAGTTTAAAGATTCAACATTAACCCAAAAAAAAGGAAATAACAATACAATGCAATTAACACCAGTACCTTTTAAAGTAAAGATAAATTTGTACTGCAGTACCAATGCAGTACCAAGAGAGTAAGCAATAGCTCTCTGCATGGGAGATCATGCTCCAAGTGACTTCAGGTAGCCACCAATGAAACAGCAGGTTAGTTCACTTACGAGCTCTCACTTGGAAGAGTCTAGGCTTAGGCCTGAAAGGCTATCAAATCTCCTGCATACCAGAACTGCTACCAGACAGACTCTTGAGTCGGAAAAGTCCTTGGCTTAGATGGGGCCCTTTACGTTGGCGCGCAGAATGGATCGATGTTGCTTTAGCTTCACTTTAGGTTTAATCCTTCTTTATGGGATTTCTCCAACTAAATCTTAGTCAGAAGGCGAGCCCCTTTAAATTAAGCAGAAAGAGAAGTGGTAATTCAATTCAGCAGTCTGAGTTAAAATGACAGCTTTAGTTAAAAAAGGGCGGCAGCTTACTGCAATGGATGGTAGCAATATTTTTAGCTCCAAGCTCCAGCATGACTTCCTACATTTGAATAATTGGGAATGACACGCAACATTTAATCAGGAGGATTACAAGCTCCAGCATGACTTCCTACATTTGAATCACTGGGAATGTCAAGCAACATTTAATCAGGAGGACTAAAAGTTCCAGCATGACTTCCTATGCACCACTAAAAGCATGAAAGACTCTTATTTCACCATAGGAGTCCATTAAAGTTGGTGGGCGAGGGGGCAACTAGGCGAGGAGCACAGAGCACTGATCACCTTGTGGATGTGAAAGGGAGTTTTGTTCACTTAATTTCACATGTAGGACTTTATTTCACTAATTTATTGTTACGTGTTCATTATTTAAGCATGCTATTCATGTCATATAACATATATTGAGGCAGCACTCCTGCTATTTTGTGTATTATGTTGATAAGGTTTTGTACCTTTTTATAGGAGCAGCAGCCCAGTTTTTGTGTAATATTAAGTGTGCACTATTGATTGGTGTGTCCTAAACGCAGGTGATCATTATCTATCAAAAAGAACTTATTGCAATGAGTAGCAGGGAAATGTGGGTCCGTGACCCTCTCACCCAGTTCTTCTATAGCAGTTTGGGAAGAAAGCAAGTTGTAATGCCCCTTATATGGCAATGTGGTTGTGGCAGTCTGGATACATGCACTCCTCACAGCTGCTCTGGATGCCCAAGGATCTCTCCAGAACCGTCTCCTCAGATCAGCGCTTGGCACAGCCATCTGCTCCTTGGCTCACTAGCAGCTCTGTTGAATTAGCTCGACCAGATCTGGTCTGGAAAGCACAACTTGGAACAGTCATACACACACACTCCTTCCAGTTGGCATGTCTCTCCCCAACTGCCCCGACTCCTTCCTGACCTTTTCCTTTTATAATGTCCCTCCCCTAGGCTGGTGCTTGTGGGTTTTGTAGTAGTGACTTCAGCTTAACTGTATAGAGAGTCTTGCTCCGAGACTACATCTCCCAGGATGCTCTGAGTACTTGTATTGAGGCTATGGCAAGGGAAAGTGCTGAATACTGCCATATTATAGTGTTTTGCATTTTCAGTTACAATACACAGTGTTACACTTCAATAAAGTTTCTTGTGGATGATACCAGGGCTGTGTGGATCTCCTTTTCAACTGGCATAGAATTGTATTATTCTTATAATCAGTTGCCCAGAACAGCCAACCCCCTCCCCCCACCACATCAGAAATGAAGAGCCTCACAATTAGAAGTCAAAATTCCCCCACCCTTCCTTATATCACCGTGCACCCCCCTTACCTTGTGCTGATGCTGGGACAGAAGGAGGAAAAAAACTGTAAATGGAGCTGGGAAGCAGAAACTGCAGGGTCTGGAGGAGGGGGGAGACAAGGGGAGGCACAGACAAGGGGGTGCTGCGGCTGCACAAAGAGGTGCAGGATCTGTAAGAGGAGCTCTGTCCTCCTCTCTGCTGCTGACTGCTGAGATGAGAGGGCAGAGACAAGCCTCTCCGTTGCTGCTTGGAGAAACACAGGATCTGGCAGA